AGGACATCTTTCCAAAATTGATTCTTGCATTTTTTTCACAAATATATAAGTATTCTGATCCACAGTTAGCCATAATATCTATATCAATATTTTTGTTAAGTATACATTGCCATTTATTAGATTTTGAAAATAATCTTCTGATCCATGTTAGTTTGAATGCCTTAATAAAAGAATGAATATGTATCATCTTTAGCCCCCCCTTCTGCATAGTCTTTTAGGATTATATCCCTTCTTACTTTGTCAATTTTTCCACCCCAAAGAAAATGATACAGTTCTGAATTCAGTTTTTTAATGAAGTGTTCATCTGGATTTGGCAAGGATGTAAAAAGATGATTAAATTGTGAGATAAGCAAAGACTTAATAATGTGAATTCTCCCAATTGGAGTAAGTATTCTCCTATTCCAGTTTTTTAAGATTAACTTGAGTTTTACAAGGTTTTTTTTATCATAATTCAGTTTTGGTATTTTATGTAAATCAATGTGAAAATCAACCCCTAATACAGTAAACTTATGGTTCCCCCAATGCAAGTTCCGCTCTGGAAAAAAAGTATCCTCACAGTATTTTTTGATTCCTATCCAAATTACTTCAGTTTTAGTTGTGTTTATTTTCAATCCCGAAATTTTGGCAAATGTGTCTAATTCCCCTAATGTTTCACTTAAATAGTTTTTTGATCCGTCAAGAATAACTGAAGTATCATCAGCATATTGAGATAGTAATATTGGTGTGTTTTCTATATTTAGTCCTTTAATACTATTATTATTTCTTATTCTGCTACCTAGTACTTCTGCGCATAAAATAAATAAATATGGGGCAATAGGGTCACCTTGACGAATCCACGTTTAATTTCAAAAAATGGTGATAGATTCCCCCCTTGGTTAATAGCATATATAATTTATGTTCCTTTCAGATTTTCTAGCGAGGAAGCTGAGATCATTGTAGCTGAGGAGACTGAGGTTCTCAGTAAGACACATGTTCTGCTGTTAAATCTGTCATGGTTCGGTCTCAGCCTCATGTTCCTTCTGCTCTCAGTGGAGGGTAAGTTTTATTGTTATTTTTTAATGGGTATTGTTTTCAAATCATCATTGAAACTTAAATATGTGATCTACTACTTGCAGTCAAATTAACCACAAATGTTTGGTTGGTGCATTGTCTTTTATGACTATGTCAACAATCACTGTGGACCTTTGGCTTATAACATATATGGTCTCTAGGTTTTGAAAGACCAGCCTGACACACAGCATCTATTAGATATCGACCAACGTCGAACCAGATGGTGCAAAAATCTATTTGATATAATCTTTCTTCATAACGATTTTTCAGTGACGTTATAATACACAAAACAATCATCGTGTTTTCAAAATATAACGTGTATCGATGAAAACGAGTATACATATGTTTGTTAACATTTTCTCCGTGTTGCATGTGGCGTTTCGATGACTAGTACGATATGTACGCTGTCACCTTCATCAGAAAAATGACCAGTGAAGCGTATTCACACGAAGGTGTAAAATATGTACGAGTTGTCCACAAAATCTATGTCGATTTCGGCTACGCTGTGTACAGGCACATTTTGTTCACGTGAATTTCACGTTAATCTCATTTCACATGAAATCCATGAGATTTTCACATGAAATTCACGTGAACCAATTTTGCCTGTGTAACCGTATGCACAATAGTTGTTATATATGTACCGAAATGACTCGATTCAGCTACGCTTTGTTTAATACTTGGTCATAGATGTGCGAGAGTCATTGTGCCCCCTCAACTCGATTTAGAACTGGCCCACTGCGGTGTATCCAGATGACTTCCTTTATTGTACATGTATTGTACATACGCTTACAGCGTAGCCGAAATCGACATAGATTTTGTGAACAACTCGTACACATTTTACACCTTGGTTTGCCTACGCTTCTTTGGTCATTTGTCTGATTAAGGTGACAGTGTATATATCGTACTAGTCATGGAAAATTGTATTGGTTGTGTAAAAAGAACTTCTCATAATATATTATACAGATGTCTGATGATTTCGATTTATCCCAACAGTTGTACCTGCACAGATCCGTTCGCTGGTAGGGGAGGCAGCCAAGGGGAGATGGCTTGGCGGCATGGTGGCGTGCGGGGCAGGTATGTAAACTACTGTGAAAGATTCACTGCTGTGACGTACGCATGGGTTTATTTTTTTCTAATTATCAAGGAACAGTGACGCTACGAGACACCCACTGATTTATACCCTAAAGCAGTAACAACACTTTGTGTTAAACACTGTAGCACTAGGGGGCAGTTCAAACCCTGATTTAACGCTGTAGCACCAGGGGGTAGTTTAAACCCTGATTTAACACTGTAACACCAGGGGATAGTTCACACCCTGATTTAAACTGTAGCACTAGGGGGCAGTTCAAACCCTGATTTAACACTGTAACACCAGGGGGAAGTTCACACCCTGATTTAACACTGTAACACCAGGGGGTAGTTCACACCCTGATTTAACACTGACACCAGGTGGCACTAGGAGGCAGTTCAAATCCTTATTAAAGCATGTAACACTAGGGGGCACTTTACATCTTGATTAAACACTAACACAGGGGAGCAGTTCAAACCCTAATTAAACACTGTAACACCAGGGCAGTTCAAACCTGATTTAACACTGTAACATCAGGGGTCAGTTCAAACCCTGATTAAACACTGTAACACCAGGGGGCAGTTCAAACCCTGATAAGCAACTGTAACACTAGGGGGCAGTTCAAACCCTTATTAAACGATGTTGAAATAGGGGGAAGTTTACAACCTGATTAAACACTGTAACACCAGGGGGCAGTTCAAACCCTGATTAAACACTGTAGCACCAGGGGGTAGTTTAAACCCTGATTTAACACTGTAAAACCAGGGGGCAGTTCAAACCCTGATTAAACACTGTAACACCAGGGGAAAGTTCAAACCCTGATTAGCAACTGTAACACTAGGGGGCAGTTCAAACCCTGATTACACACTGTTACACCAGGGGGCAGTTTAAACCCTGATTTAACACTGTAACACCAGTGGTCAGTTCAAACCCTGATTTAACACTGTAACACCAGGGGAAAGTTCAAACCCTGATTAGCAACTGTAACACTAGGGGGCAGTTCAAACCCTGATTACACACTGTTACACCAGGGGGCAGTTTAAACCCTGATTTAACACTGTAACACCAGGGGGCAGTTCAAACCCTGATTTAACACTGTAACACCAGGGGGGAGGGTGTACTGATTAAACACTGTAGCACCAGGGGGCAGTTTACACCCTGATTAAACACTGTAACACCAGGGGGCAGTTCAAACCCTGATTTAACACTGTAGCACCAGGGGGGAGTTTACACCCTGATTAAACACTATAACACCAAGGGATAGTTTACACCCTGATTTAACACTGTAACAAAAGGGGATAGTTCAAACCCTGATTTTAATACTGTAACACTAGGGGATAGTTCAAACCCTTATTAAACACTGTTGAACTAGGGGGCAGTTTACACCTTGATTAAACACTTACACCAGGGGCAGTTCAAACCCTTATTAAACACTAACAGGGGGCAGTTTACACCTTGATTAAACACTAACATCAGGGGGCAGTTCAAACTCTTATTAAACACTATAACACTAGGTGGCAGTTCAAACCCTGATTAAACACTGTAACACCAGGGGGCAGTTCAAACCCTGATTTAACACTGTAGCACCAGGGGGGAGTTTACACCCTGATTAAACACTATAACACCAAGGGATAGTTTACACCCTGATTTAACACTGTAACAAAAGGGGATAGTTCAAACCCTGATTTTAATACTGCAACACTAGGGGATAGTTCAAACCCTTATTAAACACTGTTGAACTAGGCGGCAGTTTACACCTTGATTAAACACTAACATCAGGGGGCAGTTCAAACTCTTATTAAACACTATAACACTAGGTGGCAGTTCAAACCCTGATTTAACACTGGAGCACCAGGGGCAGTTCAAACCCTGATTAACAGTTGTAACACTTTGTAAACGGGTTGGGTCCTTGAATAATTGCAAAGTCAGCCGGGTCGGGTTCGAGCATTTATTGTCTCCATATGACGATCACAGTATTTAGTATAGATATTGCACACACACAGGTACCAGCTAGTATGGATGATGTACATAGATATAGATGGTTTTGCCCCTGCAATACAAAATTACACACCTATAAGAAAAACAGTTTTATACATATCTCCTTACTTCTATCACAATGTGTACCCTATATAATATCTTTGTATACATTAGCTATAATAAGTCTCATATGAAACCAACATTAACATTATACCTATCCTTTTTATCTAATTCAATAAAATCTATTCATCTCTCACTATACATACATGTACAATCATGATGACTTTGAAAGAAAGAAAGATTAACTATTTAACTTTCCCTATTGTTCACACAATACATAGAATGCAACAAGGGGAGATAATCCTCTGGTTGACTAATAACAACAATATTCATCTATACTAGATAATGGATGTGATCCAAATCTACCTATTTCAATATACAGAAAACAGAATAATGTCAAGACAAATAATCTGACTAGGATACATCTATAACAATTATAAATTTGTTAAAACAATAGATAAAATACTGCTTACCCCAACTATGGGTAGAGGTCATGTGCTGATCCTTTTGTTTTGAATCAGTCCAATATATACGCATGGAAAATATGCACTGTTCATTTACTGTACTATCAAATGAAAATACTATTTCAGATAACTATATTTACAACTATGGACTTTGTCTTAACAAAAACTGAGAGTTTAGGTTTCATCCATATTTTAGCCATATTTCAGAACAATACATTTTGATATGAAAAGTATCTTAGCTAAACAAAAAGTATAATTATTTTGTCGCATGCTTGTTGAATTATCAGCAATGTGTATGACATAATGTTGTGGTGGTATCATTCTTAAGATTTACACACCAAAATTATTTATACACCAAAGTTTTCTGCACATATGAAGAAGAAAAAAGATAATTATTTCCATTTTAGCGGTGACGTTCGTGACAAGTCCTCTGATTGGTATGCTGAGTGACCGATCGACTTTACAGGCCGGCAAACGCCGTCCAGTGATGATAGCAGGAACAGTCGTTCTATGGTAAACGGACGGATTCATATAAGCTTGTCTGCCTAAGCGTTGACTAAAATTTTAAGAAGATTTTTTTCAATCATATAGTTTTATTAATTTCTTCTTTTATGACTAATATTGACTGTCCGTATCAATCATAAAAAAAAGGAAAGAAATAAAAAAAATCTTCTTCACGGGAGATTGCTTCTAGGCCCTAGTAGAATTGTTTCCAGCTATGTAAAGATACACTCCGAAAAAATATTACGCCACTGTGGCTACCTACAAGTGTAATATCTGAAAAAAGTGCGACAGTGTCAAAGTGTTTCTATAATTCAAAAATCTTATTTCGATTGGTTTTATACTATACGAGAGACATGCGATTTCAATGTGCAGATATAGGAAAGATTTTAGACTCCTTTCGAAAAAAAAATCCCAAGAATTACTTATGCCGCGATGTGTAATTTACTTAGATCGTAAACGACAATATACTTAAAGATGTGAATGTCTACCTATATTGTGGAACACTTTAACATTTATTTTCATTCATTTGAAATTGTGTACCCCTATTGAATCCTAAGTGAATTAGTAACTGTTACCTTGTTCAGCTTTTCACTAATCACTTTTTAACAGGTATGTATTTGCTACTTATTTTTAGTAATTATTTTAACACATTAATTATAGATAAACATATACCAAATCACACGGATGATTTTTTTCTTAAATTGCAGCCTAGGACTGATTGGAATGGCATTAAGTTCATCAAAAATACCGGTTTTGTAAGTATTAAAAACAGTTATAACCGGTTTTGTTATACAACATATTTGTACACATATATTAAGTATTTAAAAGAAAATCAAAACAATATACCTGGTTATTTGAAAAATATCTTAAGTGACGTAAATATCAATAAAAAAAATAAAATATATACAGCGTCAATTCAAAAGGACAAATATAACACAATGTCAGCATACAATGAAAATATATACGACAGTGTCAACATACAATTATAATATATACGACAGTGTCAACATACAATGATAATATATACGACAGCGTCAAATACAATGATAATATATACGACAGTGTCAACATACAATGATAATGTAAATCACTTTGCCAAACAGAAGAACACACATACTAGTACACACCGAGAAGTGTGGTGGACAAGTCCATATTTATCATGTTAACACCGCGATTTAATAGATCAGGTCGTGGTTACAAAGGATGTAGAGGTGTCAGGACAATAAACCTTTTTAATGTAACGTAGCAATAACGCATACATTAAAACATCATACTTAGAATATTGTCTGGAATAGTAATACCTTATTGAGGAGTCCTAATGGTTCCCGATATTGTCTGGAATAGCAATACCTTATTGAGGAGTCCTAATGGTTCCTGATATTGTCTGTAATACGATACCTTATTGAGGAGTCCTAATGGTTCCTGATATTGTCTGGAATAGTAATACCTTATTGAGGAGTCCTAATGGTTCCTGGTATTGTCTGGAATACGATACCTTATTGAGGAGTTATAATGGTTCCTGATATTGTCTGGAATAGTAATACCTTATTGAGGAGTCCTAATGGTTCCTGATATTGTTACACTGACCGCGTTGCAGTTTGATTTTGTCCATGTATATTGATAATTTGGTGCTTTGCTTTACTCTTTTATTTATTGATATGAAAACTTCATTTTGTTTGTTTCATTTTAATGAATATATGATTTTGGAAATGTTATTATTTAATAGTTTAAACAACTTTATAGATATTTACTTGTTTTTCTTTTTTCTACTCAGGAGAGGGGGAATTAACCTATCTAAAAACTCAACGAATATGGTAAGTATGGTTCCTGGTTAAAGACTCGTATCTCTAACGATAAGATGAATTACTAGTGTACAATCAGTTAATTATGAGTAATTTATTTATACAATTTATATATCATATTGATATGCTCATGAAAACCTGTGATTTACGGGAGGCGAAGCGTCGGATTGGCCAAAAAACAAAGATATTAAAGATGAAGTCAATTGTGAATCATTCCGTGCAATAACAAACGTTACCATAGAAATGTTCCATATCATGCTGGTGTGGGTGACATTACTACCCATTTGTAATACTGGTAGACAATTCTGTGGTACATATCGACCACAAAAGTACCTTCTCTCGTGCACATGTATATAAATATCAATATACATTACGATATATCGGCGAATCAAGTAGGAAATTAAAACAGGCAGCCTATTGCTCGTGAGGATATATCTACTCCACCGTGGAAGTCACTTAATACAAAAATGTTTAACAAAATCATCTACGAATACAATTTTGGTTATTTTAAAAAAAAAAAAATGAAAATGGTAAAAGAAGAAAGGAAAACGTCACGTTCTCAATTGAAGCAAAATCCTTTCGCATCAAATCCTATATGTGTGTGATATACATTTAAATGTCCTTCAATACCGAAGATACAAGTTATTTTAATTATAATGGTGAAAAGATAAGCATAGCGTCATGTAGCTGTGTATAGATGATCATTTCTATGTCTGACGACTCTTGTATTTGTACCTGTTATAGTGTGATCGTGACCTTGTATTTGTACCTGTTATAGTGTGATCGTGGCCTTGTATTTGTACCTGTTATAGTGTGATCTTTACCTTGTATTTGTACCTGTTATAGTGGGATCGTGACCTTGTATTTGTACCTGTTATAGTGAGATCGTGACCTTGTATTTGTACCTGGTAGAGTGTGATCGTGACCTTGTATTTGTAGCTGTTATAGTGTGATCGTGACCTTGTATGTGTACCTGTTATAGTGTGATCGTGCCCTTGTATTTGTACCTGTTATAGTGGGATCGTGACCTTGTATTTGTACCTGTTATAGTGTGATCGTGACCTTGTGGCTCACCGCTGCTTCCCGTTCTGGAACAACACCAATACCAGACTGTTCAAACATCATCACACTGTCCTCAGGGGATCCCAACCAGCCTCCATCTTACTTCCAGAGAAAAAATCCTACATATCTGAACTAGAATCAGAACCCGTGGGAAGTTTACGTAAGTGATATATCGATCTAATTAATGTATCTTATTTCAACAAGATGGATGTCTCGTTGTCATTTACTGTTTAATTTAATTCAATAACTATTTATAGTGTGTTTTTATTGATTGGAATGTTCTGTAAATGTTATTATCTTGAGAAGCCATTCACTCCCTCCAAACAATGTAGGCCCTGTTCTTAATAACTGCTATTTACATATATCCCATTCTCCTCTACAATTTATGGAAACTTCCCATGACTAATAGCAGAACCATTAAACCAGGATTGCAGTCGTAATGTGATACTGCATGATTTAGAAGAATTCAAAAGATTTGTTATCAATCTCGAACATCCTCTTCTCAAAAATGATTCTTCTATCAGAAATTTTGACTTTCAACCCTTTTCACAACCAAACCTATGTTCTCTTCTTATGCAATATTTCCTTTTAAAGAAAGACGTACGGCGTTATAAATATATTTGTGAAATTACAACATAAGCAAAATGAACTCCACTGAGGACGATATTGTGAGAATGATAGAGTTCCTGGTTGACAATATCTTTGTTAAGTTTGGTGGCAAGATTTTCCAGGAGACTGAAGACATTCCCATGGGAACAAACTGTGCCACTCTTCTGGCCGATTTGTTTCTGTTTTCATATGAAACTGAATGTATTGATAAGCTTATCAGAACAGGCCCATTTGTTTCTATTTTCATATGAAACTGAATTTATTGATGAGCTTATCAGAACAGGTAACACAAACCTAGCCAACTCCTTCAATTCCATATTCAGATATATCGACAATGTGATAACAAGAAGTGCATTGACCACATTGGTTCTATATACAAGGTAGAGCTGTACATCAGGGACACCACACACTCATTAACATCAGCCGCTTGTCTCTTTTCTTTAAAAGTTCGATACGCAAGTGCTTGCTCCGACTATCATGACTTCCACGAACGATGCTGACTGATAAACTTATAACACAGAGTTTCCAAAGATATTTTCTGCTGACAGATAAACTTATAACACAGGGTTTCCAAAGATGTTGCCTGCTGACAGATAAACTTATAACACAGGGTTCCAAAAGATGTTGTCTGCTGACAGATAAACTTATAACACAGGGTTTCCAAAAATGTTGTCTGCTGACAGATAAATTTATAACACAGGGTTTCCAAAGATATTGTCTGCTGACAGATAAACTTATAACACAGGGTTTCCAAAGACGTTGTCTGCTGACAGATAAACTTATAACACAGGGTTTCCAAAGATGTTGTCTGCTGACAGATAAACTCATAACACAGGGTTTCCAAAGATGCAGGTTGATGAAGACTAAGGACAAGCTTTATGTTGATGAAGACTAAGGACAAGCTTTATGTTAATGAAGACTAAGGACAAGCTCTATGTTGATGAAGACTAAGGACAAGCTCTATGTTGATGGGGACTAAAGACAAGCTTTATGTTGATGAAGACTAATGACAAGCTCTATGTTGATGAAGACTAAGGACAAGCTCTATGTTGATGAAGACTAAGGACAAGCTCTATGTTGATGAAGACTAAGGACAAGCTTTATGTTGATTTAGACTAAGGACAAGCTCTATGTTGATGAAGACTAAGGACAAGCTCTATGTTGATGGGGACTAAAGACAAGCTTTATGTTGATGAAGACTAAGGACAAGCTTTATGTCGATTTAGACTAAGGACAAGCTCTATGTTGATGGGGACTAAAGACAAGCTTTATGTTGATGAAGACTAAGGACAAGCTTTATGTTGATGATGACTAAGGACAAGCTTTATGTTGAAGAAGACTAAGGACAAGCTCTATGTTGATGAGGACTAAGGACAAGCTTTATGTTGATGAAGACTAAGGACAAGCTCTATGTTGATGAAGACTAAGGACAAGCTCTATGTTGATGAAGACTAAGGACAAGCTCTATGGTCGCCATCATGACCTCGCATTCGATTTCTCTTTGTGATATGAAGATCGATATTTGTTGTCCTTCTCATTAAAGTGCCATGTGGTTTTGTTGTCACAATCCGAGTTCTTGAGGTGTAGACGTGCCATCAATTGGATCCGACTTAGATTTACATGTTGGGTGTCATCGATGAAGCAGACGGCGCTTAAACTTCCTGAACACTGGTCTTATTCTCCTTCTTTTTTTGTTTTTCAAGGGTCTCCATGCTAATATATCGATTTTGAGTTCGAGGTATGGTTTTTCTGACATTGTGGTATTCTTGTTGTTTTTACAGCTATGTACATAGTGTTTTACCTCGTCGTCACCACTGCCTTTGCCATCATCACCGTGCCGTACATTGCCCTCATCGCCGACAAGTCTCATCCTTCACAGCGAGGTAATATATAACGTCTGTATTGTATACTTCTCTATGATATTGGCTGTTCTGCATGTGTGATACTACTAGCTGTACATATGCCACATCCCGGAACAACTCATATCCGTTGTTATCAAATGGCCATTTTCATATCCTACTCTGTATCATTCCGAGAGTCCAATATCAGCCCGATGGGCCAGAGGCACGAGGTCTGATATTGGTCGATACGGAGTAGGATATTGAAATGGTTGTGTGGTAACCTTTTCATCATATACATGAGTTGTTCCGGGATGTAAGCAGGAGGACTGCGTGTAGTATCAAAAGATACTTCTATCAAATATCCAACATAAAATAACAAGCTTATTATAGCGATGCTCAGCAAGACACATTTAGAAAAGGGGAAATGTATTTGTGCCTTTGATGAAATAGATGTACAGCATTTGTTGGCACTATCATATTGACAGGGTTTAACTCCGGTGTGATGGGCGCAATGATACTGTTGGGAAACCTGAGTGGTGCGGCTGTTGGAACGTGTTTTACGGTATTTTGTATATCATTATAAAAACTATTGTTATTAATAATCATGTGTTTTATACTGGTGTCCAACTCACAATGGTAACAAATGTAAATGTAGCATTTGGAGTTTTCAAAACAAAACTCCCTAGTATATACACTTTGCTCACTCATAGGAGACATTATTTAATGTATCTTCTATATGAAACATTATTCAATGTTTCCTCCGCAGGAGACGTTACTTAAGGTTAATATTTGAGATGTTACTTCCATAAGAGATTTTGCTGAGTGTTAGTGTCTCCCATATGAGATGTTACTTAATCAAATATAAACGTGCTGCAATCGAGAGCGAAAAATTGCAAAATAATATGGTGTTTGGGTGTGTACGATTAAGAAACTGAAAACTGTTCGTCCTGACCAACTGTTTTAATTGTCAATATTGTTTTATTTGTGGTATCTAAAATAACCGTTATCAAAGAATATATTTATGTTGCCATGGTAGCAAATCGGTGTCCTTGGTGCCTATGGGACGGCCATAGCAGTGGTGATGGTGAGCGTTTGTTTGACAATTTTCACTACACGAGAGAGGCAAGGCAAGGGAGTGTCGGAACCGCTCGGTATGTCCTCTGATGTCGCTGTGTTGATATCGTAAAGGCTGTACAAGATAACTTCGTTAAACTTTGTATGCACATCATTCAAGTTGTCTCATGGTGACTTTCGGACACCAAGCCGGAAATGCAAAACTTTTAGAAAGTTCCAATTACAAGAATTTGGTTGTCTAGTAGTGCCTTTTGCTATAAGGGTATTTTATTTTTGACATTTTCCCTGGATCATATCCCAAAAACCTTTCAGAATAACTTCATTAGGCGTTAAATGCATACAAATCTAGTGGTTAAGTTGCGCCGTTAGCTATCTGTTAGTTTCCATTTTCATTATTTTCCTGTTAACACAGACACAAATACATAGCAATGTAAATTTTGTCTTGGAGCATATGTCCAGAACTAATCAGGATAACTTCATCAGGCTACTAGACCTGACACAATCGTGTTTTCCCTATATTTTATCCATGGTTTCACAATACATGGTCAAACATGGTTTGACATTTTTTGTTAAGTGGCCAACAATGGTTACCACAAATATGGTCAAACCACTCCATAAAACGATGGTCTAACTATGTTGTGACCATGGTTATCCCATAATTTTACCATGATCATCAAACAGTAAGAGACTATGCTTTAGATTGATGTTATGACGTCACTATGTTATAATTATAACGTATCCTTGTTTCATCTTCTAAACATTTGAGAAATTAATAATGATACAATATTACAAATATGTTACAATCATGATATTTATCACTGATATTTACTCCGTTAAACAATATGACCAATGTTCTGAATTTATTTATATTTCAGATTGTACTACAATATTTACCGCCTTCTGGCAGCCATTAAAAGGTGATTATCAGTGCAGATTTCGTTTCAGCTTCGTAATCTAAAGATTCAAATTATTACATGTCGAAACGATTATTATTTTCAGATTTAGATTACACCTTTGAAAAGATGTGTTAACAATCCGCACAATAACACATTAATTAGTGATTCTGAAATACATTTTTAATATCTTCTAGAACATGACTTTCGCTGGGTGTTTATCACGAGGTTTCTGATGCAGCAGGGCGTGTCTACAGTTACCGGGTAAGGATTGAGGCTACACTGTCTGCTTCTGAGGCAATTATGTATTGGACATATCACGGATGTAACGACAGTAAACATATGACTTAGTTATTATAAGCCATGCGGTTTATATTGTATATATTTACATTTGCATGGTATTGTCACTATATAGGCTCTTTGAAAGCTGTGTCGTTGATGGGACTTTAATTACCATGCATCACGAGACACAATTCTTGAGACACAGACAGTGAACTAATTAATAAACATACATGGGTAATGAAAAGAACACAGAAAAACACCCTACAACTACCACATTCCCACAATTCATCTTCATGTCGTCAACCACTAGTGGAAAAACTGCAGCAACATTGTCTCCTCTTCTGTTAAGGAAGGGTATAAAAGGAATAGCTGGGGCCGTAAAGTCCGTCAAACCTTTGGGATCTGGCGATCTCCTAATCGAAGTTTTTCGCAAACAACAGGCGATTAACCCACAGGGTACCACCAGTTTTGGGGGTATCAGTGTTATAGTGAAACCACATCCATCACTAAACAGCAGCAAGGGGGTAATCAGATGCCCCGTCCGGCGCAATGACGCTAGTGCCGCCATACTGGAGTACTTCCAGGAGGAGGAGATCCCAGTCTCTGAGGTACGACGGATTTTGTCCAAGAAGAACAACAAGTTGGTTCCAACAAACACGTTGGTACTGACCTTTGCTACCCCATCACTACCTTCGACCGTAGTGATTGGTTACCAAAGGTGCAGTGTCTCCGTCTACATCCCTAATCCACTAAGATGCCGTAACTGCCAGAAGTACGGGCATCATGAAAAAGATGTAGGCGGAAGACCGTTTGCCAGTATTGTGGTCGTGAAGGTCATGAGGAACAAAGCGACTGTGATAATGCCAACCTGCGTTGTGTCAACTGTGAGGGAAAGCATGCTGCTTCGTCTCGAGACTGTCCTGCCTGGAATCGAGAGAGAGAGATATTGCGGGTCAAATATACCCGAAATGTCTCCTTTCCCGAGGCTAGGAGGATAGTGGAGAGCACGGACGTGGCTGCTCCCTGATATGCACAAGTGACGAAAGTCCGGTCGCCGGTTGACAATGTCGCAGGCAAGGATGCTTCTGTTCAAGTGTCTGAAGACATACCTGTCTGGGGCTCACAAGTCCCAGACATGGCTGGTCAACAGAACTTGAAAATCCTCACGGGAGACCCATACCGATTCACGACTTTAACCAACCAAACAAAACAAACTGTCAAAAGCAGCATCACCATCAAAAAACGCATCTTCATCAAAACCAGCACCACCATCAAAACCAGCACCACCATCAAAAACACCTTCCTCTTCAGGAGAAAACCCTCCAAAGGTTGGCCCCTCTAAGGCACAGATGCGGTCGCAGCGATCTCGCTCACTTACATCTGTTCCTCGATCCCAACTGAGGTCAGAGGCAACATCACCAACCAGCAGACCTAAGAGAAGAAAAAAAGCGAGGGGCAAATCTGATGGACCCGAACTGAATGTCACCTTTGGCAAAGGATCAGAGGACCCGACAAGCCGGTTCAATGTCCTACTAGGTTTCGATGATGAGATGGAGACGAATGCCTCAGCGCTTCGTGCTCCGACTCCATCGAAATCCAGCCAAAATAGCAAAAAATAAATAATACAATTATCCAATGGAACATCCGCGGATTAAAGGCAAATATAGAAGAATTTCAGAATCTATCAAAAGAATTTAGACCCGCCATTTTTTGTCTACAAGAAATCATGCTCAAAAACCAAATCACGCTTAGAAATTTTTCACTGTACACTAACATTCCAACTGTAGTTAGCAGAGCAGCAGGTGGCGCAGCGGTAGCTGTCCATAAAAATATTCCTCACAGAATGATCAAGTTAAACACAAATTTACAGGCTGTTGCTGTCTGTGCAACATTACACAGACAAATAACCGTCTGTTCAATTTATCTCCCTCCGAGTATTGTTTTCACTTGTGAGCAACTCAATAATCTCGTCTCCCAGCTCCCAACACCATTCATAATCCTCGGTGATTTTAATGGTCATAATAGCCTGTGGGGCTCTCCCAACACAGACGAGAGAGGAAGACGTATTGAGGAATTTATAGATAAAAACAACTTGTGCCTTTTTAACAACAATACCCCTACTTATTTACACCCTGCTACAGGCTCTCGTACCCACATTGATCTATCATTATGCCATCCATCCATTCTACTTGACTATGACTGGAGGGTAAATGATGATCTTTGTGGGAGTGACCACTTCCCAATTTTTCTGAAGAATATTAGGACTCCTTTTGATGATCCTCTACCTCGATGGAATATGCACAAAGCAGATTGGGTCCAATTCCAACACATGTGCATTGAAAAACTAACCATAGACAATTTTACTAACCTCGACGACCCTATCAAAACTTTTACTGAAACACTCACTTCTATTGCCCAAAAGACAATTCCAAAATCCTCTCCAAATCCTACGAAGTTCCTTTTATCTGAAGAATCTTTTAAAACACGCAGTAATCGGGCAGCTGCTCTAAGACGCTACTTGAATTGCCCAAGTGCTTCAAACTACAGTGATTTAAAATGTGGCGGGCAAAGGCTCGGCGATCAATTAAAATTGACAAAAGAAACAGCTGGAGAGAATATGTATCCAAGATATCATCAAACACCTCCTAAAAAAAAGTATGGGATATGATTAGGAAAATAAGTGGGAAAAAGGCAACATCCTCCCACCTCATTAATAAAAACAATTTTTTTCCGTCTATGTCTGAAATTACTGATGCATTTGCAAAAAACATAGCAAAAAACTCATCCCCTTTAAACCACTCCCGAAAATTCCAGTCTTTAAAGAAAAAAAGAGAAAAAGAAACGGCTCAATTTCAAATCATCAAACAAAGAAAGTTTTAATGAGCTATTTACCCTACCAGAACTTGTTGATTCGCTTAGAAAATCACAGGACACTGCTTCAGGTCCTGATGATATTCCATATCAATTTCTAAAGCACTTACCGGACTCGTCACTAACATGCCTTCTTTACATATTTAACCAAGTTTACGCTTCCGGAAAGATTCCCGATTCGTGGAAGAACTCCACAATTATACCTATCCCAAAACCGACCCAAACAACTATCGTCCTATCTCCCTGACTAGTTGTGTATGTAAAACTTTAGAACGAATGATAAACACTATACTGGTCTGGTTTCTTGAGGCCTACGATATAATATCCCCTCTTCAAAGGGGTTTTAGAAATAGAAGAGGGACAAATGACCATCTCATCAGATTAGAGACATTCATTCGAGAGGCTTTCGCCAAGAAGGAACAACTTGTCGCCGTGTTCTTTGATCTTGAGAAAGCATATCTAATTACCTATCAGACAGACACTTCAAAGTCCGTGTTGGTTCAACTTTTTCTGAAACGTCTAAACAGGAAATGGGAGTCCCACAGGGTGGAATCCTATCAGTCACACTGTTTGGTCTTAAAATCAATGATATAGTCAAATGTCTTGGTCAATCAATAGAAGGGTCGTTATTTGTGGATGACTTCTTGATCTGTTACAGATCTATGAACATGCACAGAGTTTAAACAAACTACAAAATTGGGCAGACGAAAACGGCATCAAAGTCTCTAAATCCAAAACTGTGTGCATGCATTTCTGTCAAAAACGAAAAGCACACAATGACCCAAATCTAACACTCGATTGCACTAGAATTCCTGTTGTTGAACAGACAAAATTTCTCGGCCTCATTTTTTATTTGAAACTCTCTTTCATACCACATATAAAGTATCTGAAGGATAAGTGTTCCAAGGCGTTAAAAATTATACGAGTCCTTTCTCATACTGATTGGGGAGCGGACCGTGAAATGCTTTTGCGCCTATACAGATCACTTATTCGAACAAAACTTGATTATGGTTCTATGGTATACGGGGCGGCGCGCAGTTAGTACCTGCAGATGCTAGATCCAATCCATAACCAAGGGCTACGTCTAGCCCTTGGAGCTTTTCGAACATAACCTGTAAAAAGCCTGTACGTGGAAGCAAATGAACTATCGCTTTATGACAGAAGAAAAAAAAATCATTACAATTTGCAGCTCAATTAAAATCAAACCCTAAAAATCCTGCTTTCGACCAAGTATACAAACCAAAATACCAAAACATATTTACGCAAAACCAAAAACTTCTGCCAACATTTGGTATCCGAATTTCAAATTTCCTTCAAGAACTCAACATAAAGTTGACGGACATAGCTGAATTTAACATATCTTATGTTCCTACGTGTACCATTCAAACCCCTGATTTTAACTTTATATTACATGAGCGAGGGAAATCAAGTGTTATGCCCGAAGAACACAAATCCTCCTTTCGGGAATGCATTTCGAATTACCCTTCTCATACACAACTTTACACCGATGGTTCCAAAGAAGGTGAGAAAGTGGCAGCAGCCTGCTGTACTGCTAATACTTGCACTTCAGTCCGACTACCAGACGGCGCCTCCATCTTTTCTGCTGAAGCATGCGCCATTGGTTTGGCCCTCGACCATATCGATGAACACCGAATTAAAAAGGCAATTATTTGTTCAGACTCTCTATCTGTCCTACAGTTTACAGTTACGAGATCCTAAAAACACACTCGTACAAAACCTTGCTCTTCGAATATCTCGTATGTTAAAAAAGTCTAAAATAACTTTACTATGGATTCCGAGCCATGTCGGAAATAAAGGCAACGAATTTGCTGACAGGGAAGCAAAAAATGCATTGAATCTCGAACAAACAAATATCAAACCACCATACACAGATTTTAAACCTACTATTCGTACAGCCATTCAAAATGAATGGCAGCAACGCTGGTCTCTCGAGACCACCAACACACTTTTTAAGATACAACCGAAACTTAAAACATCTATTCCCAGTCGGAAAGATCGTAGAGAGGAAGTTGTCCTCGCTTGGCTCCGTACTTGGCACATGTATCCTACTCTTTCGTACCTTTTAAAACGAGAAGATCTACCTTCAGTTTCTGACGACATGTCAAATAACGAGTCTGTTATAGAATCTACCGACTGTTGTCAGGTTCCCATACAAACAACAAATAAATTCACGCCTGGATTCTTCACAAAATGAGCAAAGAGAAAAGTGGAGGGCAAGGTCGGATTTACGGTGTTCACTGTATCTGTCCGTGCGCGATATTTGTTCCGGGGGAAAATCGAAACAATTTCAAATCTTACTTTCAGCTCAGATTTCTATTGATAAACTTCAATCATCCTATAGACACATCATACGCAATTGTATTGATACTGAATTGTGGAATAAAATTGAAGTGTTTGTTAAAATTTCAAAGTACTACTTTGTTTGCCAATCAGCACGCGACAATACGCTGTTCAAAATTGTGTGGACTGTCGATAAGGGGGGCATTTTTAATTTTAAATATAAATTATAAGTTAAAAAAGAACATAAGAGGCAGAGAAAACGTAAATATAAGTATTGTGTTATTCAAATGGATCATAAATACTATACAAAAACAGTTTAATGCTTAAATATACATTATGATCGATTATTTTTTTTATTATTCATTATTTTCTCTTTTTGTGTGTGTTCATTTATATTTTTATTATGCTAGCGTCTTGTACCAATTAGATACTTCCTACTACATTCGAATTAGGAAAAAAACATATATATATGCAACTTCATTAATTTAAATGACAACTGGTTGTTACAACTTGAAATGGTGATAACTGGTCGTTAGAACTTCATTGATTATAATGACAACTGCTTGTTTTGACTTTATTAATTATAATGACAACTCGTTATGTTGCAGCTTCCTCGAGTACTGGTTGTCCGACATGATCCATATCCCCTATTGCTGGTCAGAGTCACGCGCAGTCGCAATGATGCTGCTACCTCTACTGTGTGCCGCGTCCTTAAGGTATTGATTCGATTATAAAACTAACTGGTAATCGTTTTTAAACATTCCGTACTTAGTTAGTTATACTGACTGGATTGGGTTTTTTTTTTTGATTTTCTAAATTCCATCTTATTATTTGTGTTTCAGTTCTATAGTATTCGGCGTGATATCTGATCGGTTTGGAAGACGGAAACCTATGATAATAAGCGCAGGTAACTATGAATTCGACTTACAGGTAAACCAATGTATGCTAATAAGGACTATGAATTCAACATACAAGTAACTGCGAAAGTTTGAAAGTGTTGACTCGTGATTTTCTTCTATACATGTACATTTTTATAAGTTGCTAATAGTTTACAGTATTATAATGAGTCATTATTATAAGTCAACAAAGAACAATTGTACAAAGTCAAAATAAGCTTGCTAAAAGGTGTTATTATTTTTCAGCGCTGATCATGTCTGTTAGTACCTCCACACTGACGTATATCAGTGGTTATAATGCTTATTTCATCGCTCTAGTCATGGCCTTCCTTTTCGGTAGGTATGAAATACAAAACAAAGAATTGACCAAACGTTACACATGCTATAAGGTGACGAACCTATATATCCTACATATATAAATAGAATGTGACGAAATTATGCATCGGACATATATCTTATACAATGTGACAAAATTATGTATTGGACATTCAAATCAATCAATTAAAATCAATCAAAATCAATTTAATAAGACCCCAATCTTTCTGTTTCTGTTTCTGCCATATAGTTGCCTCCTTCACCATGATGAAGATCATGCAATATTTATAACTATGGCACGGCATCTAATTAAAATCATATCCGAATTCCCGTTCCTCTACGAGTGAAAAATGGAAATATTCAACCCCAATCTAATTTAAATCATATCCGAATTCCCGTTCCTCTACGATACTCTTGCATTAGAGTATCGTAGAGGAACGGGAATTCGGATATGATTTAAATTAGATTGGGGTTGAATATTTCCATTTTTCACTCGTGCTACGCACTTGTAAAAATATCGACATATTCTTCCTACTCGTAAAATATAACTATCATTAAAGTAGGGAATATCCTCTATAAAATAGGGCATTTCTGTCTGCTAGTTCAACATACGCTTGTTGTTTTGTTGTTTGTTTCTAACAAGTACAAGAGATCGTTCGTATAACATGTATGTGTATCATTCCGTATTTATCAAACACGTGTAAGTACCAACCTGTGTAACAATATGGCCATTACGTTTTGTTGAATTTTATTTGGTGTTTGTTTTTCAGGAATCGGTTTCGGTTCATTCCAGTCTGTAGATTTTGCACTGGTCATGGATGTACTTCAGGATGACAAAGATAAAGCTAACAACATCGCAGTGTGGCACCAAGCCCTCGTCCTCCCCAACGCTTTAGCTACTCCTGTGGGCGGCATTATCTTAGATTACTTTGAGAGTGTAGATTGCGAACTCGGTCTCGGTTATATTATATTGTTTGCAGTAACTGCCGTGTATTTTCTGTTAAGTGCCATATTTGTAAATAAGATAAGACGTGCGTCATGAGCAGACAAAGCATTGGTATGTCCCTTAAATAGAATACGTCACAAAGTTAATATCGACAGAGAAATAATTTCACATTTAACACATATAATTATTGACATCAGGATAGCCTTGATCACAGTAGGTATAGACATATTGATTCTCCGGCATTCTAGGCAATGACAGATGAGCCTATATAGATAATTAAATACACTCTTTTTGCAACTAATAAATATATGTATAATCTAACCTCCGCAGACTAATTGCTGGTACCACAACCAGTTGATTACTTTACATGATATTATATACAAAGATATTTTCCAAGATTATAAATACCGCGGCAATTTTCAATTACAAAATGTATTATTTTTTTAATAAATTGGCAATGTGAATCCGTCAAGTCAGTAGGACAGTATATATTCCAGATCAAGCAACACATAGACCTAGCTATTTCGAAGACATTTCGCACTAAACTAATGTGTAGGTTCCTCACAAATAGAAGAAAATTTGTAGAACATCATAGCTCGACTTCCGAATGAAATTCCTAGCATAGTTCAGTCGAAAACAGATAAAATGTTTGACTCCTCAGGAGCCTTCAAACCAAATATCACTATTCCTGGTAATAATATCGATTGTCATATTAATAATAATTTCATGACAAAATCCGAACTTTTAAGCATCATATTTCGGCATAAAAACTAAAGCGCAAAACAGTTAAAAATAAAAGAATAAAATGAACTTAAAAATTCCGTTTATTCCTGTTTTGACTGCGGTGCCACAATGGTTGACCCAGCGGGAACAGGATGTCTAGCATCAGTATTCTTATTCAAATACTGAATACTATTTATAGTGAATTTAATTACTCATACACGAATGTTTACCATAACACCTTGACAAAAACTGGGTGGTGTTTTTTTTGCCGGCACTGCATCCATGTATGACCCTAACAGAACATCTCTGATAAATACGAGCATCGTTGTTGGAATACTGAAAGGATATTAGTAGAGATATGGGACAGTAATGGTAGAAAGGTAAGGTAGATCTGGGGCGAGCTAGGGGACAGTAATGGTAGAAAGGTAATGTAGATCTGGGGCGAGCTATGTGACAGTAATGGTAGAAAGGTAGGATAGATCTGGGGAGAGATATGGACAGTAATGGTAGAAAGGTAATGTAGATCTGGGGAGAGATATGGGACAGTAACGGTAGAAAGGTAATGTAAATCTGGGGAGAGATATGGACAGTAATGGTAGAAAGTGAAGGTAAGGTAGATATGGGGAGAGATATGGACAGTAATGGTAGAAAGGTAATGAAGATCTGGGGAGAGATATGGGACAGTAATGGTAGAAAGGTAATGTAGATCTGGGGAAAGATATGGGACAGTAATGGTACAAAGGTAAGGTAGATCTGGGGAAAGATATGGGACAGTAATGTTAGAAAGGTAATGTAGATTTCGGGCGAGCTATGGGACAGTAATGGTAAAAAGGTAAGGTAGATCTGGGGAAAGATATGAACAGTAATGGTAGAAAGGTAATGTAGATCTGGGGCGAGCTATGGGACAGTAATGGTAGAAAGTGAAGGTAGATCTGGGGAAAGATATGAACAGTAATGGTAGAAAGGAAATGTAGATCTTGGGAGAGATATGGGACAGTAATGGTAGAAAGTGAAGGTAATGTAGATCTGGGGCGAGATATGGGACAGTAATGGTAGAAGTGAGGGTAATGTAGATCTGGGGAGAGATATGAACAGTAATGGTAGAAAGTGAAGATAATGTAGAACTGGGGAGAGATATGAGCAGTAATGGTAGAAGTGAAGGTAATGTAGATCTGGGGAGAGATATGAACAGTAATGGTAGAAAGGTAATGTAGATCTGGGGAGAGATATGGGACAGTAATGGTAGAAAGGTAATGTAGATCTGGGGAGTGATATGGGATATGGTAAATCGAGATAAAATAATTTGATTGGAAGAAATGGCGTATAACACAAGTGATTTTGGTAATATATTGTTAGTCTTTCTGTAAAACATAGTCAGTGTCTAATCGTACTTAATTCCTGTTATTTATCAAGGACAAAACATCCATAGTCTATTGATGTCTTCAGAGTTTAAGTCTAAACTGTTGACTTATTCTACCACTTGAAATTCAAAGTTTGATATTTTGGCCAAAATTTAATACTTTCGAATTGTTTCTTATAATGCACAGCGGTAATTCGCAAAATTATAAACTCTTTAGCGTCTGCTCAAAGTTATAACTAGGCAGCTGATTAAATCAGTATGGTTTAACTTACATATACACTGTTCTTAATCTGTCTGTGATAACGATGAAGTTTGTTTGTTAACAGAAATGAAATATTATGATGTTTGTTTAATGCAATGTTGATCATTGTTTTTTGTTGTTGAAACGATTGCGATTGTAGTTGTATTAAATTGATAAGGTACACAACTGAACACTTCTTGTTGTTACTTACAGTCCAAAATTCATCGAAACAAATACACAAATCTGCTGAACGTCCTCACCCCAAATTGATTTACTGACAAATCACATGTACCGGTATTATCTAATCTTAATCGCACTCCCAACTGTTGTTGATGACAAACAACAAGTATTATACATAACCCAATCCCGTTTGTTATTGATGACAAACAACACGTATTATACATAACCTAATCCCGTCTGTTGTTGATGACAAACAACAAGTATTATAATAACATAATCCCGTCTGTTGTTGATGACGGACTACTAGTCCCGGTATCTCTACCAACTGTGACGTTCATAGCGAGAACAATGGTGGTTACAACGAAACAACAAGACATACTAACATTATACTTAACAGCATATTTCCCACAATTTGTCGAATCTTCATCAACCTGCATCCTCGGAAACCCTGAGTTGTAAGTATGTCCATCAGCAGTCGGCGTATATCACGGAAATCTGAGACGTCAGATGAACATACGTGTGACATTTTGTTTGTTGCGTATCTTAAGTGGTTTTTTTTTATATAGATAATCATTTTCTGGTATTGCTTTCCAAAAATGTAACTGAACAGCACATGATACGGATGTAATTATGATGATGTTAGACCGTTTACGTATTCGAGAAACACTGAAAAAGGTTCATACAAATTTATAAGGATTATGTGATATTTATTTCGTTATAAACAATACCAATACTATGAACTCAAGACATGTTATTTGAGATCCAGTTGATGTAGTTAAACACACGAGTGTAGACACCGGGGTTGTAGGCCTCGGCACAACCGAAACCCCAACTTGTTACTCCTGAAATTAAAACAGAGAATGTATGTTTTTGTACATGTTTCGAAAATATAATAGTTTTAGTTTTTGACTTACTAAATAAATAATTACTAAAACTACTCTTTAGAGGTTTCAGATATGAAAACGGTGTGACAAAAGTTATGAAATATTAAACAAATTCAGCCTCACAATTATTTACTAGAAAAAACCTAAGTGGGTGTTGAAAGAAACATCTACTGTAAACAAACAAACTGGGTCACAGATGAAAGCAACATACTATCCCACGTATATTATAATTTTTAATTCTTACTAACACGCAAGAACAATTATGGTAACGTAAAAACAGTATAATGTGAGTACTATTATGTAAGAGTGTTGAGTTACATCCCAATGCAAGCATAAGTTAGTTTGCTGACTCACCTGTAAGGGCCCAAGTGTTTCCAGAAGTAGTACACACCAAAGGTCCACCACTATCTCCCTGTGTTATGTAACATATTGTGTTTTCAAGGAACCAATGATTAAATGATAAACAAGAGTTACTAAAATAAAGTGACTCCCCGTGATCATGGGTAGGCTACATACCGCATTACTATTTCTGTAGTACCTTCGTCTCTGTGGTAACTGTAGTGACTACCCGTGATCATGGGTAGGCTCCATTGATACGCTTGTTTCTGTAATACCTTTGTCTCTGTGATTACTATAGTGACTGCCCGTGATCATGGGTAGGCTACATTGATACACTTGTTTCTTTAGTACCTTTGTCTCTGTGATTACTGTAGTGACTCCCCGTGATCATGGGTAGGCTACATACCGCATTACTATTTCTGTAGTTCCTTCGTCTCTGTGGTAACTGTAGTGACTACCTGTGATCATGGGTAGGCTACATTGAGACACTTATTTCTGTAGTACCTTTGTCTCTGTGATTACTGTAGTGACTCCCCGTGATCATGGGTAGGCTACATACCGCATTACTATTTCTGTAGTACCTTCGTATCTGTGGTAACTGTAGTGACTACCCGTGATCAAGGGTAGGCTACATTGAGACACTTGTTGCTGTAGTTCCTTTGTCTCTGTGATTACTGTAGTGACTACCCGTGGTCATGGGTAGGTTACATTCATCCACTTGTTTCTGTAGTACCTTTGTCTCTGTGGTAATTGTAGTGACTACCCGTGATCATGGGGAGGCTCCATTGATACACTTGTTTCTGTAATACCTCTGTCTCTGTGATTACTATAGTGACTACCCGTGATCATGGGTAGGCTCCATTGATCCACTTGTTTCTGTAATACCTTTGTCTCTGTGATTACTGTAGTGACTCCCCGTGATCATGGGTAGGCTACATACCGCATTACTATTTCTGTAGTACCTTCGTATCTGTGGTAACTGTAGTGACTACCCGTGATCAAGGGTAGGCTACATTGATAAACTTGTTTCTGTAGTACCTTTGTCTCTGTGGTAATTGTAGTGACTACCCGTGATCATGGGGAGGCTCCATTGATACACTTGTTTCTGTAATACCTCTGTCTCTGTGATTACTATAGTGACTACCCGTGATCATGGGTAGGCTCCATTGATACGCTTGTTTCTGTAATACCTTTGTCTCTGTGATTACTATAGTGACTACCCGTGATCATGGGCAGGCTACATTGATACACTTGTTTCTGTAGTACCTTTGTCTCTGTGGTAATTGTAGTGACTACCCGTGATCATGGGTAGGCTCCATTGATACACTTGTTTCTGTAATACCTTTGTCTCTGTGATTACTATAGTGACTACCCGTGATCATGGGTAGGCTACATTGATACACTTGTTTCTGTAGTACCTTTGTCTCTATGGTTACTGTAGTGACTACCCGTGGTCATGGGTAGGTTACATTGATACACTTGTTTCTGTAGTACCTTTGTCTCTGTGATTACTGTAGTGACTACCCGCGATCATGGGTAGGCTACATACCGAATTTCTGTTTCTGTAGTACATTCGTCACTCTGATTACTTTCATGGTATATATATAAATATAATGCCCTTTCTAAACAGAATGTGAAAGAAAGCTACCCAGTATTTCTTTTTAAAGTCACTATGTATTCAAACAGAATTGTACGCGAACATTCATCATTTAATCAAATGCTAGAATATATATATCTATCTAAAATACCAATGATCATGTTCACCCAAATTATATTACCAAATGCATGTTGTACATTTTGTACCCCATTAGTCGATGCTGTACATTCTGTATACCACCAGTCGATGCTGTACACTTTGTACCCCACTAGTCGATGCTGTACATTTTGTACCCCACTAGTCGATGCTGTACGCTTTGTACCCCACTAGTCGTTGCTGTACATTCTGTATACCACTATTCGATGCTGTACACTTTGTGCCCCACTAGTCGATGCTGTTCATTCTGTATACCACTAGTTGATGCTGTACACTTTGTACCCCATTAGTCGATGCTGTTCATTCTGTATACCACTAGTTGATGCTGTACACTTTGTACACCACTAGTCGATGCTGTACACGTTGTACCCCACTAGTCGATGCAGTACATTTTGTAACCCACTAGTCGATGCTGTACATTTTGTACACCACTAGTCGATGCTGTACAGTCTGTATACCACTAGTCGATGCTGTACACTTTGTACCCCACTAGTCGATGCTGTACACTTTGAACCCCACTAGTCGATGCTGTACATTCTGTATACCACTAGTCTTTGCTGTACATTCTGTATACCACTAGTCGATGCTGTACATTTTGTACCCCACTAGTCGATGCAGTACATTTTGCACCCCACTAGTCGATGCTGTACATTTTGTACCCCACTAGTCGATGTTGTACATTCTCGTAACCATTGGTTGGTCAAGCTATCGCTCTACCAGCTATGTTAAAGACAAAAGTTAGCGACGAGAGGTAAATCTGATAGATGAGAATGTGTATACTACTCTAGACCTACCTGACAAGAGTCCTTACCACCCTGCGCAAACCCAGCACAGAACATGGTCTTTGTGTCCAAATAGCTGCCGTAATACTGACTGCTGGAGCAAGTCTGCTGAGAAATGATGGGTACAGTCACCTGTCTCAATACATTGGATGATCCGGTTCCTGCAGGTTTAATGACAGGTAACACTTATTTTACAGACAACAACGAAGATATAGGTATATCTCTATCGGTAACAAAGTCACATTATTATCAAATATATGGTTTAGTACTTATATTATCAAATGATTAAAATATGTATAAGTTGACGAACGGGACACATAACTGAAGCATCGGTAACTGTTCCTAAAGTATTGTGTTTGTTATTTACCAAGTGAAAACAATCAACCAATTGACATGCTAAAGGTTTGTAACAATCATTCATCTGTTAAACATGATGTTTTGTTGACATACAAATACCCGACAGCGTATGATGATGTTGATCTTACCCTGGGTATCCCCCCAGCCAGTAGACACACAATTGGTACCCGCTGCCACATCTGTGTCCGTCACACAGACGGGTGAGACGTAATCATTGAGTGTGACGGGATTACTGAGTTCCATGATGGCGATATCGTTGTTGATGTCAGCGCTGCTGTACCGGCGATGGCTGGTGATCGACACCAATGAAGCGCTCTGCTCTGTTGAACTTGAGCTAGTTTTATCGTGAACACCGAGTCTAACGGTCCACTTTGAAGCTACACCCATTGACCTGTTATAACATCATATTTTATTTAGTAGTCGAATAACTGAGTTTGACTTCGGTCTTTTTTAAACGACAACAAGTGTTTTAAGTCGCACAAAAAACTTGAAACATATCAATATCAGCATACCAGATAATTAGGGATTCAAAAATTATAATCCAACAACTAATTATATTTCATTTCTATCGGAGACAGTGTGCTTTAAAACAAAACCTATCCTATATCATAGCTGAATGCAACGACAGAAATATATCTATAATATACGTACCCCTCCACACAGTGAGCCGCCGTCAGCACGTGTCGGTCAGATATCAAAGTTCCACCGCATACATGGTAACCATTGTATTCCAAAAGAGCCTAAACATTTCAAAGCTGTTTTCAATACTAGCAAAATGGTACAAAAAAAGGTAGTTTCACATTTGTTTAGACAAGTCAAAGCAGTCAGACACCGAATCAAATGTGACATGTAAAGCCCGCAGGTAAGGGAAACAGGTATGTGGCTACCGAGAAAGGAAAGTTCACTATGCGAAAGTCGTCCCAGTTAGTCGTGGAGTAAGTAAAGAACGAGGAATGCATATGCAGTGTCTTTGATATACGATTGATTTGGTCAATAAATTTCTTGTCATTCACAGCCATCACACCGTCGATATATCTGAATGTGGAATGGAAGGACTTGGCTTGGTTTTTGTTGTCAGTCCTGATAAGCTCATCAATAAATTGAACCTCATAGTAACAAAATCGGTCTGTTCAGGGTCAAGGTTTGTTCCCTACAATTTGTTGGAAAATCCTGTCATCGAACTCAACGTAATGAGTAACGAGATATGCCGTAAACGGTTGTACATGTGAATTCATATTGTACACATTCTTTTTAACGAATTTTATATAACTTCACATTAAAAAGTAATGCGTTAGTGTGAAACATACTGACATGTTACGGTTGATAAACCTTCATGTCATCGATCACGTATTGTTGAGTCACTATAAAACAAGAAGACACAAGGCAACAGACACATAATGAAACCAACCATCCAAGGCCAGCTGTTTGGTGTGGCCTCGGAGCCGCCCACGATATACGTGGAGGAGGGAAGGTAGGCCTGGGTACCACATCCGCTTCTGTTAATGTTCTGTAGACTAGTGGCCTGTGGCTTCCTGCCACCGGGTTTGGCTGTAATATAACAAGATTTCATAGAAAAAGACTCAATATGCATCATAAAGATGAATAGACTGCTATATACGGGTTTCTTGTGATTTACACGAGTTTAATACCTGAACAATTGCAGACCAACGATTGTATTAGATCTCGTATACTTATTAGATCAAAGTGGACTCGATTGTGATTAATAACCGAGAAGGCTGGTAAAAGGGGTAGGTTATGTAAGGGCGATATCAAAACGGGTTTTACACTGCTGTAACAGCAACATCAGTAGTTTAGTTAATTTACTATTGTGTGATCTACCATCAGTGATAATTAGTAATGATGACATCACCGTTGTTAAAAAGCGCGATCCTTAACACGCTCAAATATCGATCGTCATCGTATTCCCATTATTTTTGCAAATAGATACAAATTGATGGATTTATACGTAACCAAAAAATACACTGTACAAGAATAAGTTACTTACCAAAGGCCAAACTGAGCAGTCCAAACAATACCAGTGTCTTCAGCATGGTCGTCTGTGGATGTGTCAACCAAGTTCTGATCAGTGTCTCAAATCAACATGTCACGATATGACCAGTTAGGTAGGTCTCCATTATCAGGACGGATTATGCAATAACTTGTGTAATAGGTCTGATTTTAGATAGGAACCTATCACGATTCTGGTATTGCAGACACAGAGATATTTAGAAATGGCAGTCCACTAACATCACGATATCTCAGTTTCGAAACGTTCTATCAGGCGATCAAGGAATGTCTTCAAATAGTTAACTGTATTTTTAAAATTTGTAAGTGTTATATCCGTATTTGTCATTACTATGATACAAGAGGAAATAGCTTGAAATAAAACCCGATACGTTTACAGTTACGAAATGCCCCTGTGGGTGTCGGCTTTTGTTAACGCATTCATTTACGTTGAAATTGTTTAACGGAATAATTCATATTAACCATTTAGAATCAATGTAGTCAACTACTTTTAAATGTCATGTAATTGTTTTTTCTCGGGAATCGATGTGGTACCCAAGTAAAATATGCTATGATGAACATTAGCCATTCTGTTAACCCTGTTATAAAGTTTTATTTGTTTGGATTAATGTTCTGTCCCTAGATTGGTTTGGGTGTTTTTTTGTTGAACGTCCTATTAACAGATATGGTCATTTAGGGACGTGCATACATGTACGTTGTGTAAGTAAGCGTGCATGTGTGTATGTGTTCCGGAGACAGGGTATGTTGTTGTATTTGCCTCCTTGGAATAGCGCGGATCTAATGCCGACTTTTAGTGCTATCATACTGAAACACCATGCCGAAGGCACCCAGCACAGTATTCTGCCCAGTCACATTATACTGAAAACGGGTGAACCAGTTGTTGTCATTACCCTAAATGCTTAACGTGAAGTAGGGAATAACGAGTTCCATTTTTAAGGACTTTAACCCATTGCCTTCCTAACCTGGGCGAACGCATAACATTAAAGCCAGAAGCGAGATATTACCAAGCAAGGCGTTAGGAAATAAAAGGTAGATAGAAGTAGGAAGAAAGATATAGATCCCAAATTTTACAATGGGTGCAGCATATTTATTTTGTCGCTTTTGTGTCCCCAATTAATGGACACAAACGCAAATCCCCTATTCCACAGGGGGTTCCCACATAAGTCGGCTCTAACGATACACGCAGTGGGTAACAGCAGGTGTATTCTTTTCTCGATCCCCGAACTGCAGGGGTGTCTGTCCCTAGAGTTCGACCATCTTTTCTGATAATTTTCTGTACTTATTTAAACAAACCAGTAAAAAACACAACAAATTATGATGCATTTTAATTACTCGTGATAGGTTATAATATGCGCACCAAATATGGTGGCTTGGTGTTCTATCCACGACATGTACTTAGTGACGTCAGTGTAAATACCAGGCCAGTTTGGTTTGGCGCAGTCGTAGCCCCAGCTTGTTATACCTGAACGACAGAAAACATATAAAAGCTTCAATGAATGGTATAATAAATAATAATAACAAATGTTTATGTAAAGAATATTTATAATACTTCTTTAGAAAATCAGGAAGACGTCAGCGCGGTTTGGTGTAGATAACCACACCCCATAATTGCTGTTGGATCCTTCAGTACCAGAGTAGTTATAAGAGATTACCGAGCTGATACCAGATCCCTTCAGATAAGTACCAGAGTAGTTATAAGATCTTACCACGCTGATACCATATCCCTTCACATAAGAACCAGAGTAGGTATAAGATCTTACCGAGCTGATACCAGATCCCTTCAGATAAGTACCAGAGTAGTTATAAGATCTTATCGAGCTGATACCAGATCCCTTCACATAAAAACCAGAGTAGGTATGAGATCTTACCGAGCTGATACCAGATCCCTTCACATAAAAACCAGAGTAGGTATAAGATCTTACCGAGCTGATACCAGATCCCTTCACATAAGAACCAGAGTAGTTATAAGATCTTACCGAGCTGATACCATATCCCTTCAAATAAGTACCAGAGTAGTTATAAGATCTTACCGAGCTGATACCAGATCCCTTCAGATAAATACCAGAGTAGTTATAAGGTCTTACCGAGCTGATACCAGATCCCTCCAGATTTACAGACGAGAGGTCCACCGCTGTCTCCCTAGTAACGAAATAAGATTTTATTTTTGACGTATGTTACAGTTAAGTAACATCTATAGAATAATTCAACGATCTACTCCATGAAGTCAAAGGATACAGGAAACCGTTGGTTCTTCTGACAAGTTATATATATAAGATCTCAAATTAGTTTTCATTTCATATTTTAAGAAACGATTCTTAGGAGTTTTTCTTTTTGCGAGCCTTGGCGAGCAAAAATTAAAACTTCGAGACGAGTTTTGTTGCGCCATTCACAATTTATGACGTCACGTCATTGTCCATATTATGACGTCACAATCGATTTCTGACAGGCTTAGCTAATGAAAAACGCTCCAGGGTATATTACACTAGTGACATATGTAATATTATCATATGTTTACTGATAATAACACTCTTTTATATATGTGTAATAAGTCTAAAATTTCCACAAGTTGATGTCAGCCCGGTTGATATCCCACCCCCTTGAAGTGATATCACATCCCCTTGAAAGAGATATCACACCCCCTAGAAAAGTGATATCACAGCCCCGGAGTTTGCCGCTTCCGCCTAATGCTATCTACTTTTAATGTAAACAAACGAATTGTTGGCATGGAATAACTGCGGTTTCATGGAAAATAATTTAAAGATTGATTTACAAAGCCCCACCCAAATTTCAATAACCATATCATTTTGTAAGAATTACGGAATTTCTAAATGTTGACTTTTTACTTATAATTGTTACTGTTTTGTTTATATACATCATTGTTTTGTTACGATTTTTATGAATGTAAATAAAATAAAGAAATATTGTTTTGAGTATGTTTTGTTTATTTTAAAGGAAAAAACATATGATAAAAAGTTAATGATATGACCATTTTGATATCACACCCAATCAGCCCTCGAGTCCTAATATCAGCCCTCGAGCCTTCGGCCCTCTGGATGATTTCATTTCAACAGATTTTATTGACTTTATATATGTCAATTGGATTGGACATCAGACTAGGCCTATTTAAGTCCTTTCCAAACTTATTTACAAACATTACATATATTGTCATAAAAATACAATTAAACAGTGCAGGGGAGATAACTCCAATTTAGCTTGTGAAATGAACATTTTACAACTTTTATTTAATCATTTTCTGTTTATGTTTTAGATATTAACAATTAAATAAATCATGTATATTTATTGACAACCCATCCTACATAAAATCCAAGGGATACAGGCCCAAAAGTCCCTGTGTATAAACACATTGGCCATCCACCCGCTGGATATATAGGATAAGTTACCAAGAAATAAACATTTTGTAAAATTTCAGAATATGATATGGATTCATATAAGAAAATGTAATTATTATTATATATTATTGGAGTTGATTCTCTTAAAATATATTTAACAAAGCACTATAGAATATTTATGTAACTATGATATATTTAGAACAGGTTATAGAATAGTACACTCATAAATTCAATCCAGTCCCGCCGAACACCAGAGATGTTGTGAAGATATATATACACCAGTATCAATGGTGATCATGATTCAGAGTGATCTTCATTCTATAAATAATGGCATCACTTTCAATGTAAAGTTTTGCTGTGAGTGAGATTACATATCAAGCCTATTAGTTTGACAAATGTAGTCAGATATACTTTGTAAAATGGATATGTTAATATCAGCGCTGCATATTAAGCATCCATTTAATAGAGTTTTAGATTAAAATGATCATGATTACCAGTTATACCAAATTGAAAAATATTTATTACTAATTGCATTCTAAAGTTGTTATAGAGTGGGCATTCAAATATAAAATGAAATGCATTTTCATTTTCATGTCCACATCTACATGCTGGTGTGTCATTCATATTATCAGACTTGATGAATTTTTTAAATTGTTGAAGGGAAGTAGCATTTAAAGTTTCTGCAGATAAAAGGTTAAATTCTCTACACATTGAGGGAAAAATAACTATTGAAATAATTCTCAGTTCTACAGAAAGGGGAATTGAAAATACGGCTATTTCTTAGTAGGTATCTGACATTTGTATTGCTGTAGAGGTGTGGTTCAATGATGTCTTCTATGTACTTGGGCGATTCATTATTTAAAGTTTGAACATAAGTGCTAATTTATGATTTTTTCGCCTACAATAAAGTGATTCAAGTCCAGTTTCTGCGTAAAATTCACAATGAGAGGGCCCTCTACGCAATCCTGTAATAATTCTTAATGCCTCTAGCTGGATGGACTCAAGAATATTTGTAATTTGGTTACTACAGTTATCCCATAAGTATTGGTCTAATTTGTAATCCTCGGCACCAACGACGTGTCAGGAAATAAAGTGATGAATAAACTGTGGAAATAACGTTTACAAAAGCTGTGGACAGTATGTGTACATTTCCGGTATACTACCACGGAGAGGACAGTCCAAGCATATTGAAAACTTCAATAATACAGCAAAATCAGTGAACTCATTTATGCAGAAATGGTGTAAAAATGTAGAGCGAGTGAGCTACTTAGAAATAGACAAACTATTCCTCAATAAGGATGTCCCCATCAAAAGGCTCTATGACCTGAATGACACCCAGGGGGTTCACATTAGTTCTCAGGGACACCCAGGGGGCTCACATTAGTTCTCAGGGACACCCATGGGGCTCACATTAGTTCTCAGGGACACCCAGGGGGTTCACATTAGTTCTCAGGGAACAGAAATGATTGTGGCATCCTACAAGGGAATTTTAGAACAAAGTAACAAGCGAAGTCGAAGTGACACTTCACTAGACAACCCTCCAGATGCCAAACAGGTTCGATGTGGTGAGCATTCATCAACTGACCTTCTATGGCTCTGTCAATATACACCATTAATGTTAATGGTCTGAATAATTCTGGAAAACGAACAAATTTGTTTTATTGGTTTCGGAAAATTCGAGCAGATATAATATTATGCCAAGAAATTCATTGTGGTGATGAAAGTACTATGCTTAAATGGAAAAGAGAGTGGAATGGAGAATGTGTTTTCTCAAGAGGTACATTTAAATTTAAAAACATTATGTATTGAAACTGACAAAGAAGGTAGATATATTATTTTTACTTTTGAGCATGAACATGTAAAAATAACTTTATGTAACATATATGCACTGAATGATACTAAAGGTAAACAAACATTCTTTAATACAATACGTCAGAAACTTTCGACCGAAAAATATAAAAACAATTCCATTATAATGGGTGGTGATTTTAATTGTGTCTTTAATAAGGATTTAGATAGAAATAACTGTACCTCAGAAGGAGCAGAGGGTGGGAAGCTAGAGCTAAACAAATTAATCCAGTCATTGGAATTAGAGGATGTTTGGAGAAGAAGAAATCTGGATAAAAGACGCTTCACATTTAGGAGAAACAATAAACAGATATAGAGTTCTGTCCCTTTACAAAAGGTTACCACTACGGCGTGCCTTGTATAAAAATGAATATGTCAAAAACTAACAGAGGTCCAGGATACTGGAAAATGAATAGAAACGTCATAAAAAATGATATATTCAAAGAAATATTTACCAAATTCCTGAATGAATGGAAAAACAAAATTAATCTTTTTGTATCACTTAAGGAATGGTGGGAAATTACTAAGACAAAAATAACCGATATATGTATATTTGTAAGTAAACCACTTTATGCTAAAAATAAAGAAAAAATGAACATCTTGAAAAAGAGTTCAAAAAAATCTGATGGCAATCCTGAAACTATAAAACAACTAGAAAATCAAATCAGCTCGTACTATGAAAATAAGGTAAACGCTGCTAAAGTACATGTAAGAAGTAGGATAAAATTGTATGAAGAAGGTGAGAAATCCACTAGTTATTTTCGAGGTCTTGAAAAATGTAGAGCGTTGAACAAACAGTGGGTCTCAATTAAATGTAAAGACGGAAGCTATTAAAATAATATAAACGATATACTTAAGGAACAAGTAAAGTTTTATAGTAATCTTTTTACTACTGAAGGAAAGATGTTGATGAGGCAAATAATCTACTACAGAATGTAGAGGCAACTGTTGCAAATGAGGTAAGAACTGACTTTGAGAAAACGCCTACTGAAAAAGAAATTTATTCGTCCATTAGAAATTTGAAAGCCAATCGATCACCTGGTATGAATGGTATTATTGCAGAGTTTTATCAAACTTCTGGAACTTAATAAAGGACCAATTTACTAATGTTAAAATAGATATATTCCAAACAAAAGAACTATGCCCATCTCAATATAAGGGTTTGATAACCCTTTTGTACAAAAATGGAAAAAGGGAGGACATCAAAATTGGCGCCCAATCACTCTACTGGATACAGATTACAAATGTATAACAAAAATTCTTGCAGAACGCATTAAAAAGGAGCTTCCAAATATTATTCAACGCGACCAGAAGGGATTTGTAAAGGGAAGAAACACAGAAGACAGTATTCGTTTAATCCAAGATATTGTCGAGTACTCCAATTGTAATGAACAGATATGCAAGTTATTGAGTGTGTGTACGTACCAGTGGCGTTTATTTCCGGTGTCCTGTGGAGAGGTACGTGTGTACGTGTGGAGTATTGTCAGCTTAACGTGATTGTGTAAATAAACCATGTGTAATCAGTGTTAGGTTGCGTTTGTGGTCTTTACATAGCTTTTGGCATATGCTAAAAGCGCTCGTAAGACCAGAAAGTTAGTGACGTCATAAAAAAATGGGATAACCTGATTTACCCCAGAATGGTTTGAGCAAGCAGTATATAAGCGAGGCTTCATCTCATTCTGAGAGAAAATTCTGATGCTGACAGAAGATCACGGCGAGATACAACAACGTTAAGGTATAAACAAAGGCTGGATAAGTCTTTGTGGAAGGACTGCATAAGTCTTCCATAGCGTGGTGGTTGTTGGTCGCTGAATAAGTGACCAGTGGTCGTGAGGCGGCAGTAGGTTAGGGTGACTAGCGGATGTTAGGCCTGTGCACAGTGTAGCTATTACGCTGTGTGAGCCGGTGCGCTGCGCTGGATGAGCCGGTGCGCAAGGTTGT